GAATGACGTCATATAATCGGTGACTTTGAGCGCCAACGCCGTCACCGTCGTTTCCACGCACCAGCTCCCACTCAAAATTATAATTTAAAAAATTACATTAAAATGTCAAGAGATGGGATTCCGGAATGCTAAAAGCGGTCACCGGACGATGGGGCAAGGCTTCTCGAGAGTGGCCAGGTCGTACTTCATGACGACGTTGGAATCGGAACCGCGAAGGACTTCGACGGTCGCCCTGCCCTTGCCCCCGACGGCGTGGAGGTGGCCGTCCCAGTCCAAGAGTCCGTGCCTCTGTCGTCCCTTGGCCATGCCGCGTCGCTTGAGCCAGGCGTTCTGTCGAGCGTCGTAGACGAACACGTCCTTGGAGGAGATGCCGTCCCAGCCGCCCGAGAGGAGAAGGTCGCCGGAGTCGCAGGCGACTCCGGGGTTCTCCCTCCCGTGGGGGAGATCGGCGAGCTCCTCCCACTTCGAGGTGCGGAGGTCCAGACGCTCGTACTTCCTCGACGTTCGGAACACGTGGTTGATCGTGCCCACGGAGCCGCCAACCGCGTGGAGGCACGAGTCTCGATACGTCGCTCCTGCGCCGTTTCGGGGGAATCGCATCTCGCTCAGTCGCATCCACCGTCCCGACTCCACATCCAAGCGATACGCAAACCTCTGATACGCGTTGGCTTGGTCTCGACCCCCGCACACGAGAATGGATCCGGGCGACGCGGCAGTGGCAGGCCATTTGAAATACTTGCTGGGTTCGGGTCCGTTCTCCCACGTCCTCTCGTCCAAGTCGAACGTCTTCGTCTCCCCGCGACCGATCACGTACAGTTTCCTGCCGACCGCCGCGAAGGCTCGACAGAAACTGTCATCTCCTGCGTACGGATAGTAAGAGACCGCTTCCAGGCTCCAATTGTCGTTCGGGTGGATGCAATAGATCTGCTTTTGCTTGCTTTTCTCTCCCAGGCACCAGAATTCCATCGCTACCTCCGAATAACTCGGCAAGTCTGTCGATTCCTGGACTTCCTCACGGGGCCCGCTTCTCGTTTCTGCCGCGACGGACTCGCCGCCCACCGGAACGCATTCGTCCATCGCACGCATGACGGCATCGAGACACCGCGAATCCCCCCGAATCGCCGGATCCACATACACCACCGTCTTCAAGTACTCGAGAGGCAGGAACGACAAACGGATCTTCTCGACGATATCCGGCAGATGTCGCAGCCGACTCCCATCCCGATCCACCCACCTCCTCGCCGCCTCGTAGACCTCCTTCTCGGAGGCGACTCCGAGCTCGTCTCGACCCAAGAAAGACGCCAACGTCCGGAAGGAGACGCCGAGGAAGGCATCCGTGAACGCAACCTCGTGGAACCGAACCGAGATGTGACCCACGGCCGCTTCCCTCAGATCCTCGCTCTTGCACTGCTCGGCGACTGCGAGAACGCGAAACGCGTTCTCGGAAGTCAACAACCCCTCGACGACCCCGCTCATCTTGTCGCAGAGGCGTCTCAACCCGAGGAAAGAAGCGTCTTGGAGAGCGGCCAGTGCCCCTTCCTCCCCTTCGATCTCCATCCTCGTCCCGTGAATGTAATCCCAAACCGGTCGAAACCCGAGCGTCGTGAAACCCTCCAGACGGATCTCCCTCTCGGCAGCATCCCTGAAGTCGGTCGAGAACATCTGCCGGAAGTAAGGAGAGACGGCGGCGAGGATCCCCTTGTACGAGTGGAACCTCTCCCCTTGCACGAGGACGACCACGTCGCACCAGCTGGGATCCCCTCTGAAACACGCGGAGATGTCCGCCGCGAGGACGTTGTGATCTTCCAGGTCCTTCTCGATCACGATCCTCTTCGTCGTCGCCGCAGTCGCCATCCGTCGGAACGAATCGCACAGAACGAATCGAAGAGACTCGACACGAGCGAAATGCTTCGCTATCGAGGGAACAATGGAATTCGATTCGAGTGAGACGCCGGAGTAGTGGGCGGATCGCGATATGACGTCATCGTCTCTCCGGTAACATAAAATCTGTTATCGTTGAGAGTTTATACACCTCGTCCGGTTTCCCAGCCTTATCTTGCGAGCTTCGTCATCCCCTCCTCAGAAACTCCAGGAAGACAATCCGGAAACGAATACATATATGGAACATATCTGAGAATGGAATGCTATCATCCATCCGTTCCAACATAGTAACGCCGGCATTGCCTGTTTTATGGTAGCTCATTAATTTTGTACTGTCAACCGCTTGTCAAAACGTCGGAAAGGGGCTCGGAGGCTATCACTGGCGGACCTAGACGTTCCAGGCGATCGTGAGGCTGTAGGCCATTCTGGCATTAGAGAGAGGGCACCCACAGAGGGTGGCAACTTCGGACTCCAGGGTATGACAAAAGACCTCGTAGAAGGCCTGTCATTGTTCCCCCCTACGCGTCGGGTATATCTCAAAGAGGAGTGCGTCAGTGCTGCCAGAATTTTTTTTCTTCAAGAAGCAAAGAAAAATATGACAGAGGGAGACATACATAAAATCATTTAAACTTAAAAATTACTTTAAAAAAAAACTTGAATATCTCCTGGCAGAATGTAATACGAATTTTCCCACAGGCGAAAGGAGGCCATCACATCTCGACGTGTCAACACTTTCCAATTTTGAGCTAGCAAACTCCCGAGGCCGGTCAACTCGGTTCGCCTGCTCGAAGACGAGGATAATCCCCATCAGCTGTCTTACTTCTCTTCATTCTTGTGATTTTTTCAAAGGACCGGATCAATTGCCCTTAATGGAAACCATGGTTCTCATCTCCAACCAGCTCTCTAATGCCTGGATGATATCAAGATTTCAAAAATCATTCATACGTGATGCCTGCCCCCCCCCCCCCCCCTCCTCCTCCACCGAGGAGCAGGCACGCCACTGTGCGGCGAAGGAGTCGAAGGGAAGTGACCCTCTCCCCTCATGGGAGAGGAAGACAAATGATATTTAATGACTCCTTTGAGGATTAAAAGTGTAGCGAGGTTGGACCGGATAGAATATAAACAGATTTTACCTCACTACCCGATTCTTTGCGTGACGGTCGCGACGCGTATTCCCGGCGGCATTTCGGCTCACTAATTCATGGAAACGAAGACATCTTCTCCCCTCGTTTCTTTCAGGGTTCTGAAATGTTTGTCTGCCTCCGGAAATCAAGGATGAGACAAATGCAGAAATATTCTGTTGGCACTGGATAATGATGTCGACTCCTCACGTGCTCATAGTCAAGGTCATTAATTTATTTGCGAAACACGCGCACCATTTTCCCATTTAGTTAAAACTCAATGGTAAATAAGATTAAAATTCGATGACGAAGCATGGGACATTTTGAAGACGAAAAAAATTAATTTCTAAGAGCTGAAATGTTTTAGAGAAGGAAAATGGTACCGAGAAACACGAGATCACCATCTTTAGGCCTTTTAGGGCTTCTCTTTGGTTTCCAGAGATTTCGAAGGATGCAGCAGCAGCCGTTCACGCAGCGTCCTGCAGCTTCCCTGCAAAGGGCTCGAGAAAAATTATCTTATGAAGTAATTTGAAAACCATTTTTCAAAGGCTTTACCTTTCCTCAACCCCACCTGCCCCTTCCCCTTTTCCAAGGGACTCGCAAACGTACGGTCTAGACCTAACCGACAGACTGTCATCGGGTCGCTTTTCTACATACCCCCTTACAGATAAAATCATCGGAATGGTGCAGCCAATCATATGCCGGATCATGATCACGTGATCTTGAGCAGTAACGCGCACTGCAGCCAAGCGAGCGTCTGCCATGCCGTCGAAGTCATTAGAGCTCTAATGCCATTATTTATATGGCCATGTCCTTTTTTGCACTCGCTCCGTGCGTCAGGGCATGTCCCTATCGGTCGATGTAGCATGAAGTAAAGTGAAAAACAATTTTCAATGGCTTTCCCTTTCCTCAAACCCCCTCTCCCCCTTCCCCACGGATTAACTAACTTAGGGTTAGGCTTAGGCCTAACCGACAAACTGCCTTCAGGTCACGCCAAGGCCTACCTTTTTCGTTAAAAAAAAACCTCAATTTTCGACTTACTTCTGTAGTGGTATGACAGAAGGCGATAAGTCCATTTTCGCAATTTCTCAGGGTTAAGATTTACCCTTTTTCGTTCAAACGAAATTCAGTCCTCTCCTTACGCCTATTGGGATTAATCCCTGGTCTTTGAGACATCTCGTCGAGGGCGTGTAACGTTAGGCCAATGGCAGGCCTATTCAGTCTCTCACGACCCATTTCAGAGAGGAAGCGGAACGTTAGGCCTATCTACAGTTCCTCGAATCATCTCAACTAGTTCTGAGGAGAGAATGCCTCTAGGAAGCACGAAATGATATTCCACTGATTCGATCGGTCACTGATAACTACTGTTTCAATCTCAGCTCATCTCATGAACTCGGCACAAAAATCTCTCATTCATAAAAAAAAGCAAACTGAAGATCCAGACGCCGATACGAAGGTTGAATTCGTCTCGAATCTGGCATAATTTCAGCACGGTATCCGGCAACATTGGGGGACGGGACCGGAGCCATCACGCTAAGCCGAACTAAACGACAGCCAATTTCTTCCTTTTTTTTTAATGGCGAAATGGTGCATTGCAAGCAACAAAATGTCACTTTTTGTCAGCTACAAGTCAGCCTCTTTCCTCCGAACCCCCCCCCCCCCCCACAGAAGTGACTACCCACGGGGAGGGGAAGAAAATAACGGAATGAAATATTGACGTCTTAAAAAAGCGAGATGGAGTGTTCTTCACGATCCCGGGGAAATGGAGCTTCAATTTTGCAGGAGCGGTTCTGTGTTGAGAGAAGAAGTATGCCCAATCTCGTTCCTGTTGATGCTCTCTGAGAGAAATACGAGAAGGTTGAATTTTGTTACGGGAAGGGGTTGAAGAAAGGTAATAGACGCTACCAAAGCTTATTGATTCGAGGAGGAGAGGGGTTGGGGAATGAAATGGTGGCATTTTCAATAAATTCAGGAGAAACGACTCTCGTTACCCAATTAGCGTGAGGAGAGCGATACGCGATCGTCACAGTGACAAAAGATAACATGCGTTATCGCGGTGGGCACGGACTCCCGGCACAGTCCTGTCCTTTCACTCGGTCCCCGGTCTCTCCGGACAGACCGCGACGTGGTCGAGTGAGCGCATGTAGCACGCCTGAACGAAGTGACATCCCCGAGGAACTGCCTCCTCCCCTCCTCGTCGTCCGTCGATCATGAGGTGAGTTCTGATTGGTTGGTATCTTCTCTCCCCCCCCCCCCTCTCCATTGCCCTTTTTCATTCGTTGAACGTTTCCCATTTGCAATCTGGAATTGGGATAAACCATGAAAGCTAAAATCTCCCGAGGATAAAAAAAAAAAAATTTCCTAGAGCTGAGATTTCCACGGCGAGTCCAACCGACGCACTTAGACGATCAGCTGTTAATTCCGGGCGAGAAAAGTTGAACGGAGGAGGACTCTACCACGAAGCATGCTCGAGTCCATCACGTCTTTGGGCTCTATCGTACGACGCAGTGCGCGGACGGAGCTGCGTGGAACGATCTCGTGCGGAGAAACACCGGAACCTAGATACTTTTTTTTAAAACGAATTCTCTATGTATCTTCTCGTGAGCCATTCCTGTACGTCACAAATGCGGATGTGGAAGAAAGTGAGAGAAAAACGTGCTGTTTCTGGAGCATATCATTCCCTTCGCAAAAGAAATTCGCGAACGAGTCGGACGGGAACGAAATTTTCCCAAATTCCTCATTCGCGCCCGGATGCATCTCGCGTCGCGATCGGAATGCACTTCGCGAAAAGCGACACAAAATTCGACGGGGAACGGACGAGTCTCGGGTCTCTACGAACGCGTTTCGATCACTCCTGCCCTCGTTTTCACGACTCTCACCGCCTCGTCCTCGTTTCTTCGGAGCAACGTCGGTGCGAGGTTGGCGCAGGAATGAGGATTGCGAAACGGAGCGTCTGAGAAACAGCACCTGCCGCGTCGAAACGGAGGAATTAAAAAAATGTGCGGAGTGACAGGAGGGGAAGTAGGTACTCTTTTGGGCTGCCTGGGGCGAATCCAAAGAGGTCGGAGAGCACCTGCTCTTTTCACCTTCACCTTCCACATGCAGATTCTTGGAAACGGATCCCATCCCCCCCCCCCCATCCCGCCTCTCCCCCCTCCCCCCCCCCGGATCCCCTATCGCGAAACTGCCTCACGTGCACCTTTTCTCATCCGGGAGGACGGAAGCATCGGCGTGGACGCAGGCGATCCCCCCCACACGCGGCAGACGATGAGACCCTGGATCCTCCTCTTCTCTTGGCTCTGGGGCTGGGCGGCGCTCGGTCTTCCCCCCTGCCCGAAGCCGGACCTCATCGCACCTTGCACCTGCGAGTTCGGCGAGGCGGGGCCCGACTTCGACGCTCCGACCGATTCACCCGTCTTCGTCGACTGCTCCGCGGCGACCGCGAGCGAGATCTTCTCCGCCTTCAACGACGTCGCCTGGGCCTCCGACCAAAAGTGAGTTGGGGTTTCTCTTCCCCGAAAGGAACGGCTCCTTTTAGGTACCTCCCCCGGTACCTCGAACCCCCTTCGCAGACCGGATGGAACCCGGAGTTCTTTTTGGTTTTGTTACTGACAGGATCGCGGCGAAAAACTGAATGAAAGCTCACCAAAACCAGATTTAATGGTGGGTCACGTCCCACCCCCCACTTCGGTAGATCGTGCCAAGGGGCGGGGATGGTGCCTGAAGCCTCGATCTGGCACTGTCGATGGAAATCAAAAATTACGATTTTCTATCAACACACATCGTCTGTAAATATTGTCGACCCGAGAGCCGCTTAACTTATGCCGAGCGTGCAAGGCTCTCATCGTTCCCTCGAATCCTCGCAGGTATTTCGATATCTGGTGGAACGACGCGCTGACGGATCTCCCCTCGGGAGTCTTCGGAGACGTCTCGTTCCATGCAATTCAGATCCACGGAGCCCGAAACCTGGAACGCATGGACCCGGACGCCCTGGAGCGCTCGGGCGACCGGCTCCGAGACCTCACCGTCGCGTTCTGCCGCCTCGGGGACTTCCCGTGGGAGGCCCTCCCGCGACTGGGGGAGCTGAGGAGCGTGGACGCGAGCGACAACGCCATCGCGAGGCTCCCCGCGATCGAGAGCCCCACGCTGCAGAGTCTCTACCTACAGCAGAATGACATCTCTGACGTTCGGGCCGGGTGGGCCACGCCCGAATTGAAGGTTCTGGACTTGGGTGAGTGGAATCCGACGGAATGGAATCCATCGTTCTCGCCTTTTCTCGATCGCTTTCCTTCGTTTTCGTCTCGGGGAACGGTGAAACGCACGGGATTCGCGATTCCTGGAGCGAGGTGCTAAGCGTTTTCCGATGCGGTCACCGCACGATTCTTCCTGTTTTATTCTGTTCCAGGGCCATAGGAAATGTAAGGTAAGGAAATGTAAGGAAATGTAATGCAAAGCCCAGGATAAACAGGGATTAAATGCAACTAAAACAAAGGAAAGCGTAGAGAAAAAAAATCTAGGAAGGATGAAAATGTGTGCATTTCTGGAAAAAAAAAAAAACCGCTGCACTCGCCCAACCTCGTCCCTTCCCCCTCAGACAACAATCCCATCTCGTCCCTCCCGCCCGAATTCTTGGAGGGGCTTGGGAGCCTGGAGAGCTTCTCCTGCTGGGGATGCCGCCTGGGACCGACCCTTCCCTCGGGGTCCATGGCCTTCCGCAGTCCAGCCCTCAAGGTCGTCGAGCTCTACGGCAACGGCATCGAGATCGTGGAGCCGGGAGCCATCACGGGTACGAGGAAAATCCCATTTCTAATCCGATCCGGATCGACTAAAATGAATCGAGATATTCGGGGCATCTCCATTTCGATCGTGTTTCTTTCCGATCTCACTGGCACTTTTCAACGTATCAGAAGCCTAATGAGCCTCTCGTGCTTATTTTTTCTTGAGAATAATGAAGTGATGTGTACGTAAGCCGATTCAAAAACTCTTTTAATCCTACTGTCGGGCCGAGTCTGGAACGCCTTTTGAGACGGTCCGGTCGCCTTTCCGGTGACAGCGAGACGATGTCGATCGAATCTCAGCCGATTCTTGCTCACCCTTTCTTACTTCTACGCAAATAGCTTCAACCGGTATTTATAATTTCATATTTAAAATAATAATAATACTGAATTAATCAAGTAAAACAGAAATACGGGGGTATTTCGTCGATCGGTACATTGGTTATAGAGCGAAGCGGGAATTCTCGGTTGAATTGCTCTCATCGTTTGCAGGTCTCACGGCCGACACTCGAGTGAATCTGCACTACAACCGGATCTCTTCGCTGAGGGAAGAGTCGCTGAGGGGAATGTTGGAGGCTCTCTCGCCGGGGACGGGGCAGCTGGACGTGTATGGTGAGTCCGGGGTCTTTGTGGCGGGGCGGGGCGGGGCGGGGAGGTTTCGTGTCGCTGACGAATTCGGTTGTTTCAGGGAATCCGGTTGAATGCGGCTGCAGCATGGCCTGGATCGTCCTGGATCCGGAGTTCCTTAAAAGTGTGAAGGGAGAGTGCAAGGATGGAACCGCTTTTCAGGAATTGGATCCGGGTTCCTTTCGGGATCGTTTATCGTGACGAGATCCGGGAGGTGTCGGGGCGATCGTTCCACCGTGAGACTTTAGCGTGAGATCCCCCCGGTTTCTGCGTTCCATTCATAAAAGAGGGACTTTTATGCAGAACCACTGCATTGACGTCTTGAAAAAGCTGATATTGATCTGTGGAACCTCTGCGTTACTTCGTTAAAATGGTTCGAAAGCTTAAATAAAAGGAGGTCGGCATGCAACGAGTCAACTACGAGTCGAAGGTGAAAATTAACGGAATTCTCGAGTCTTTTCTATCACGATGAAGCCAAAAGATCCCGACTCTTGAAGAAGCAGAGAACCAATCCGACTCAGTGGCGAATCGCGTAGATCATCGTAGAGCTTTTAGGGGAATATTCGCGTCATCTTAAAAAAAAAAAGAATTTCCATGGTTATGACGCCGGGAGAAGGATTAACCATGTTTTGTGGAATGGTAGAGATTTAGCGAGATTGACGCTCTAATGTCTCGTCGTTCACCTCCGGCTTACAAAGATCTCAGAGGATTCTTGATGGCAGTTCGGTTTCTTATCTCGACCATACGTGAGGGTTAAACACCGTTCCCAAAACTCCTTGAATTGTGCTTGCTTCTTGACGAAATCAAATTATCGCCATGAATCGATCGTTCATTCTTTACGAAAAGAAGCTATATGAATTCTTAGATGTAATTCAGATTGAAAGCTATCATGAGGTCCCTGGATCGGGCAAGGAGATGAGAGAAGCAGCAGAGAGTAAGCAAATGGGGACCCCACATAAGCGGATGGTTGCTACAGATTCCCAGCATCCTCGTCTTATAAACAATGAATCCGTGAGAAAAGGTATATTCATGCATGTATCACCGATATAAAAATATATATGTGCCTGACTAAATGGCAGTGGCAGCAGAAACAGAGAGAGTATTACTACCAACGGAGTTACTGGAGTTGTTAAACAAGAGGTTGACGTGATCGAGTCAAAAGGCCAAAAGACGAACTTCAGACTCTAAAAGTGCCCGCTTCAAATTTCCTCCATCCGACCCACTCACCCAAATAAGACAAGACTTCAATAGGGATAAATTGCTACAAGAACCTTTTGATCGTACAGGAAGGATTATGCGTCGGATTCATGAGGAGTACTGTTTCTCTTCGTCCCCTTTTCATTTCGGATCATGCCAGAAGAGTGAGGGTCAAATTTCAATTCAATTTCGAGCTTACTTCCCTGGTGACAGAGGACCCATACCCCGCAAGCCTTGGCTCGATTAGTTCCTCTGTGCCACCCGGGGATGAACTCTTGCATATTTTCTTCGGTGATTCGGTTGGAGGGTGCGACCCCACTGACCCAGATTGCTGTCGCCAATGTCGTTAACGAGTCGCTGCTGCTTTCTGCTCTCGTTGGCTTCATCGTCCTCGTCTGGGTCTGATGGCGGGATTTCAAAGGCGGGGGAAGCATTTTCAGGGGACCAGAAATTATGCAACGTTTTTCTCTAGCTATTAATGTTGAATGCTTGCTATTGTAATGTTTCTTCGTTTTGGGGAATAAACGGGAATTCAAATGGGAGGGGGGAGGAGGGCGTCTAAAAGCTTGGAATATGAATGGCAATGGAAAGTCATGAAAAGCAGAACAGGAAATTTCCAAGAGTAATCATACTTTCCCTAGAATCACGGTAAAATGAATATTTTAAGTTGTTTTTTAAATGACAGGCCTCGAAATGAGTCCATCCTCTTCTTCTTTTAGTTTTCATTGTCTTCATAGGTATTCTTCCCCCCAGTATCAATTATAACATTCCCAAGAAACAGTAAATAGATAACCTTGTCAGATAATTCTTCACCGTGAAGTAAAACATGACACGATAAGGACCATGCTGAAATTTCACGACACACCTGTGCGTGCTCACAAGTAACATGAATACTGCAACTCGTGCAACCTTCAAAAGCCGAGTATGATAGCAATGATGAAATATGCCTTAGCCATATCGTAGAAGGATTCCACATGCACTTCATAACACTACAATGCAGTAGATGACACTGACTATTTATTACCAAAGATATAAAAGATTATTGATATGTGATGCTCAGTGCTCACATATGAAACCTTGGTGAAGGATATGAAAAATAATGGAAAGCAACGAGACTGACAAAAGACATCAGAACGCCCGCGAACTAGAGACTCTGAAGCTTCCTCGAATCCATGTTGGGGGACTCAAGAATGTTAAATCTGTATAATAACATTCACGTCCGTTTCTCGTTATGGGTGGGCACGAGCGGCAGTGAAAACTCTCCACCTATCCCTAACCTTGCACACCTCCCTGACTTCAGCCACATCCGTGCACCTTTTCACACATGCTCTCCTGCTCCTCTCCCTCCTGATGTTCCCTTCTTTCATGCACTTATTCACTTAGTCTAATCAAGCCTTCCTAAGCCGATCTCTACCCTTTCGTCCATACAGGACAGCTTCATACACTCTCTTTTTCGATTGCTCACCATTCGTCCTCTGACGCTCTCCACATGACCGAACCAACGTAACATCCCTTTCTTGACCCGACTCACCACATTTTCCTTCATGCCACATTTATTCAGCATCCACTCATTCCGCGCTTGTCTCTTCTGGTCTTTCCAGTCACTCTCCTCGGGTACGCCATTTCCACCGCAGTCACTCTGCTCTTGTATCGTTTCCACCACACTCACGTTTCACTTGCATACATGTGGGTAGGGACCAGCACTCCCTTGCACATTGCCAGTCGAGCCTCTTTCGACATCCTTTCATTCTGCGCAATGCCACTCATTACTAACACTACCTTCCGTCCCGCATTCACTCGCCTCAATCTCCTGATCAATCGGACCATTTCTTGCCAACATACTGCTCAGGTACGCAAATTAATTCACCTGTTGTACACGTTTTCCATGCAACGTCACTGTACTCAGTCCTCTCTTTCTCTCGGTCAAACACCATGACATTGGTCTTTCCCACATCTATACGCAAACCATTCCTCACACACACCTCATATTGCCCATCCAGTGCGTCCTGCAACCCGCGTTCGGCATCACAGAGCACCACAGCATCGTCTGCGTACAGCACCACGCTCAGCTTCTGGCTTACCTGCACGCTCGACCCTAAAATGCCTCCTTAATAGAGCGGTCCATGAAGACGTTGAACAACCAAGGAGACATCACACGTCCCTGCTGGACCCCACTCTGAATGCCGAACTACTCATCTTGCCATCTACACGCATTAGCAGTCAATCCACACCGTACTCTGCCAACACGTCCCATAGCTTGCTACTAACTACACAATCATGGTCCTTCTCTACAAAGGCGCAGAACACGTTGCGGTTGACCGCCGGGTGCTTTTTCACGATCTGTCTGAGAGAGATCTGGTCCGCACACCCTCTCCCAGGCATGCAGCCGGGTTGCACTTCCAGAGATCCTGGGACAGGGGATCTTTCTGACACGCTCAACCAAGACCTTGGCAAAAAAAAAAACTATCCAGGAACGTTCAGCAGACTGAATGCCCTGTAACTATTACAGTTTTGACTGTCTCCCTTGCCCTCCTAGAGTGGCAAAATAAACGTCCTAAGCCTACGCTTGAACAATTCCACACACAACGCACAAACAAAACAATGCCTACAGTCATCGGCACCAAAAGCTATTATTCCTTTTATATTTGTTCCGTTTGTGCCAAGACAGACCCCGATGTGAATTTTTTTTAGCATTTTCATCGAACGACACTGTCTCATCAAGTTCCTCAGAGCTAAGCGAGCTGTTCATATCATTTTTGTTATTCACTGTTCTCAATCCTCAGTTTAGTATCAGAAAAAGCTAAGACTTTTGGACCTTCACAAAATTCCTGCCTTCGCTTTTCTTTGCAGTTCCCTAAGGTTGCCCTCGGCAAGGCAAAAAGAGGGAGAGAGACCGATGCAACCAACAAAAGTGTACTTGCAGAAAGGGAGAGTATTTTCATAGAAAATGGCATATTAAAAAATCCCAGCATATATACAGCATATGCAATGGCTTAGGGGGCCGGATGAAGCTTCATCGCCAATGGGGTTACTGGAATTTTTCTTATTTTAGCTAAATAAAAATGGATCGAAAAGGCTGAAACCAAACCTCTCGCTAAAAAAAAAATTTACTCCATCCAACCCATGATGCAAATTTAATTTCACTCTAAAAAATTCCATAGGATCCTGATCCCCCTTCTCTGGGTTGTCATCCCATGCCACCTGGTCCAGACCTTCAACGAAACAACCAGTTCTTTATGTGATGTTATGCTTTTGCAAACGACGTCGTTCGTACTGGAAACAACTCGAACGAGAATAAATTTCAAACGATAATCTTTTTCTACAAGGAGGAATATGCGTCTGATTTATCGGGAGTACCGATTGTCCTCATTCGCTTTTTGCTTCGGTTATGAGCATGTCAGAAGGGTAAAAGTCGAGTTTCAACATAACCGTAAGCTTACCTTCCCGGTGAACGGGGGGAGATTCTGCTGGTTCATCAAAAGGCAACTCCTCTATCTCATCCAACGAGGAGCTCCAGTCGAGGTTTTTCAAAGACTCGGTGGAGGAGGCGACTCCTTCCCCACCCACCAATACTGCAGTCACCAATAATGTTGAGTCACTGCTGCTTTGCTCATCCTCGCCCACGCCTTCGTCCTCGTCCAGGTCGAGTGGCGGGATCTCGATGGCTGGGGAAGCATTGGCAGAAGAGCACAAATAATGGATCCTTTTTTTTTTATAGCTGTTTACTTTTAATGCTTGCTGTCGAGGTTTTTCACTAATGGGATATAATTGGCATCACGACCGGTGCTACCTAATTTCCCACCAAGAAAATTGGAATGTTTTGGGCAAGGGAAAGCATCACTATGAGTATTTCTTTATATAACAATACAAAAATCTTCCGCATGAATAACACGGTCCCCAGTGGCACCTAGGCCTTATGAGTGGTTTCGAGATACACTTCAGTCACTGGCGGACCTGAGCTGTTGGAACATATTTAAGGCAAAAGTTTAACTTTTGGTATCATTGTAGGACCGAACGAAAAGATGACTCGAAGTGAAATTATACTCGAACCAGCAAGGAGGGACGATTCAAACATAAGGAAAAGTGATTCTTGCATGACCAAAGCGATAAAAAGGGAAGACATTTACAACTTCATTATTTGGATATTTTTCTAACCTTTTTTTCAGATGCTGCTTTTTGAATCATTTAACAATATTAGTTTAGTTAACAAACGCTCCTTTTTTAAAACTTGACTAAGCATAAGAAATGTGCTAAGTTCATAAAATTTACGAATTCCTTGTGACAATAATAGGCGCGAGATCGGTGAGATGCAGGTTAGGATATAACCATGTGGTTGTATAAATTCCAGAAACAACTTAGTTATAGTTTCCTAGTTTGTTATATATGTAAAACTTCATTTTCGAGCGCCATGGATTGGAAGAGGTTGGAGTGCGCTTACGAGGGAAAAACTCCTCATCGACTATGCTCGTGACTCCTAGCTGGTTGTGGAAACCGTCCTCCTGCTTCATAATGGAATCACTTGGAGGACCTCGTTCCGGTCTGGACTGAAGGCTTTGTCCTCCTTCATCCTCCAGGGCCCGGCCAGTTTCAGACGTGATTGAGCATGGGAGGAGAGGAGACTCGACCCCCATGTCGTCCAAGACCGAACCGATTTCAGTGGTGTCGGCTGAACTCGGCTCATCCTCCTCGTCTTCAAGGGCACGGTCGACTCGCTTTGGTGGGCTCGATTGGGGCTGGAGAAGGGATTTTCCACCTTCATCCTGCAGAACCCGACCTATTTCAGATGTGTTTGAACAGGGGTGGAGAAGGGACTCAACTTCCTCGTCCAGTTTAAGCTAATGCTAATAGCCCCATAAACAAATCGGTGATGCAAGAGTATTGAATGTGCTGGGACGACGAAATCAGCAAAGTCGTTTTGAGTCTCATGAAAACCTGCTAAACCGATGCGTTCACAATAGCGGTTGTGGCAATGAGCTCGAATATCATGATGATTGTTTTTAGGAACAAAATCTCCCTGTGTACTGTAAGCTATGTGTATAAATCTAATGAAGCGGTTCAGTTCAGAATGGGTAATGCGATGAACAGAGGATGTGAAGGTGACGTTATGCTCACAATTGACTATACAAATTTCCGCCTATTAGACGGCCAGCGTAGCGGCCGCAGACCTCCAGTTCCTTTTATACTTGTTACGTTTGTGCCAATGCTGGCCCCGATGGGAGTTTCTTAGCATTTACATCAAACGACACTGTCTCTTCAAGTTCCTCAGAACTGAGCTGTTCATATCATTTTTGTTATTCGCTGTTCTCAATCTTCACGGTTGAGTATAAGCATAAAATGAGACTGTTGAGCCTTGGCGAAGTTCCTGCCTTAGCTTTTCTTTGCATCATGTACCCCGTTCAAAGGGTTTCACCCCCTTCCCCTTTCACTTCTACCCCTTCACCTCTCGTACTTTCTCTGCCCTGGGCACCGTATGGCCAGGCCTGATTTCCCCCTTAAATAGCGTAATAGCGTGACTCTAGCCTCCTAAAGACAGTCGCCAGAGAGTCCCCTAGGAAGTCACCCAGAATCACTCTCCACATTCATCTGTTTTCATTGCGGCATGCCCTCGAGTCCGTTAGTGCACCGCTGTCTGTCCTGCACTTGGGCGCAAGGACCCGAGTTGGTCTTCTTATAGCGATGAAGAAAGATCTACGTGGATTCTGGACGTTCTCCAAACAATTCTGCCTGCACTTCTAGGCTTCTCTCCTCCTCCGCACTTCTCTCCGCCGCCTACAGCGCCACTACTTCTTGGTGACAGCCTTTGGAGGTTTTTGTATTTCCTCTAAACCGTTTTATGGTCCGCGATTAAGTTAGTGCATTCATCGTTCAGTCACTTGTCTAGCAAACTGTGCACGTGGTCACGGGTGCATCGACAATTCAGCTACCGGCCTCCCTCTGCATTGGCTACGTGCACCCAGAGGTGGACTACGTGACATTTGCTGTTCAAAGAGATTGCCCTCGGCAAGGCAAAGAGAGGGAGAGATCCATGTTACCAACAGGAGTGCACATGCAGACGGAGGGGATTCTCATAGAAAATTGTATTTTCAAAGATACCAGCATATATACAATATATAAAGTGGCTCAGGGAGCCGGATGGAGTTTCATTGCCAATGGAGTTTCTGAAAATTTTCATATTTTAGCTTCATAAAAATGGATCAAAAAGGCCGAAAACCAAACCTCTCGCTTAAAATTTTCTCCATCAGACCCATAATCCAAATTACATTTCACTCTAAAAAAAAAAAAAATTACATGGGATCCAGATCCTCCTTCTCCGGGATGTCATCCCTTGCCACCGGGTCCAGACCTTCAACGAAACAACCATTTTATTATGTGATGTTATGCTTTCGCAAACGACATCTCTCGTACAGGAAACAGCTCGAACGAAGATAAAATTCAAAAGATAATCTTTTTCTACAAGGAGGAATATGAGTCTGATTTATTGGGAGTACTGTTTGTCCTCATCCGCTTCTCGTTTCCAATTATGAACATATCAAAAGGGTGAGAGCCAAGTTTCAATATAACTGAAACTCACCTTCCCGGTGAAGGGTGGGAGATTCTGAAGGTTCATCAAATGGCAGCTCCTCTATCCCATCCAACGAGGAGCTCCAGTCGAGGCTTTCCAAAGATTCGGTGGAGGAGGCGACCCCTTCCCCACCCACCAAAACTGCTGTCACTAATACTGTTGAGTCACTGCTACTTTGCATATCTTCGTCCATGCCCTCGTCCTCGTCGAGGTCGAGTGGCGGGATCTCGATGGCTGGGGAAGCATTAATAGAAGAGCAGTAGAAATTAAACCTTTTTTTTTTAAATAGCTATATACTTTGAATGGTTGCTGTCGAGATTTTTCACTAATGGGATATAACTGGCATCACGACCGCTGCTATCAAATTTTCGGCCTAGAAAATTTGATGCAAGACCATGCATGACCAAATTGATGAAAATGTCATTCGTAAATTCTGTTTATTATATGGATATTCTTCGAAACTTTTTTCCGATGCTGCTTTTCGAATTATTTAATCAAGATCAGTTCCCAAACGCTTCGTTTCTATCTTGAGTAAACGTAAGAAATGTGCAACGCCCATGAATTTTACGATTTCCTTTTGGGAAAAGGGGGCGCTATATCAGTGAGATTTAGGTCATGATATTACCACATGACTGCATGAAGTTGCAGAACGTCTTCGTTCCTGTTCCTAAGTTTGTTATGCATGTTGAATTTCACTTTCGGGCGCTACGAATTGAGAGAAGTTTAAAGAGTGTGCTTACGGGGGAAAGGGTCTTCATCGACTTCGCTCGGGACTCCTGGCTGGTTGTCGAAACCGTCCGCCTGCTTCGTTACGGAAGCACTCGGAGGACCTCGTTCGGGACTGAACGGGAGGCTTTTTCCTCCATCCTCCAGGGCCCGGCCGGTTTCAGACATGCTTGAACAAAGGGGGAGAAGGGGCTCGACCCCTTTGTCGCACAAGGCCGAACCGATTTCGGTCGTGTCGGCTGAACTCGGTTCATCTTCCTCGTGTTCAAGGGCCAGGTCGATCCGCTTTGTTGGTCTCGAATGTAGCTGGAGAAGGGTTTTTACACCTTCATGCTGTAGAACCCGACCTATTTCAGATGTGCTTGAACAGGAGTGGAGAAGCTGCTCAAATAAAGGCTCATCCTCCTCCTCTTCAAGGGTGTGGTCGATCAATTCTCCTCGGCACGAATTGGGCTCGAGTAGGGACTCATAACTTGCATCCTCGGAGGCATTGCCTCTCGGCGGATCTGCATATGACGACCGAACTCCTTCCTGAAATAAAATTTATTTGTCTCCCGAGAATTAAGGACCTAAACGAAAGGAAAGAGTCCAAATGCAAGGGATTTTGACTGACCCTGAAGGTTGTCGGCGTCCACCTCTCCATCTCCTCTCACGCAGCAGCAGGCTCTGACGGCCGCCCTCGCATCCCTCCATCTCTTCCTCACCCATCTCATGCACCGGCTCATCGCGATGACTGAAGGCTCGCTTCGAAATCGGTCGTATCACGCGACGTTGAAGAACTTTCGAATACTTCGAGGAATCGTGAAGTCGCTAGGCAACCTTTCCTGCAGTTGTTGCCCTGGACATTCGCTGATTATTTTGTCCGTCAAGTGTTAACCCTTTCTGTATCCTTATATCCTCGCGATGCATTTCTCTGCGGTTTTCAGCTTTCCAGGGTCTTTCATGGATTTTTAAAATGTCCAAAGCGCTGACGACCCCCAGTTTCCCAGTGACGTCACAATTATAGAAAGAAATGTGACGCCACTACGATCGCTTAAGCGCTATGAAGTTTTGCCATATAATTTTTTTTAATAGATAGAACTCCAATTGCATAAGTTTAAGATATATTAGTTTCCATAGGATTTACATGCTTTACATAGAGTGTTTCGCGTGGAAGGGGCAACTCTTTCTCGTTGGTTTGCTGGAGGGCGAACAAACTCGCTTGTATGAAACTAAACTCGTATTTCCTACTCGTAAAAATGTTCGATTAAGCTAATTCTTCCTATTCTAGTCCAAGTTTCGCTCGTTGCAGAGGCTGAGGGCCTTGGCTTGGATTGAAAGATGTCGATCGACGATTTTCGCATGATGAAAAAACGGCGGAAATCTTTCCGGCAAATATTCATGGGTTTCCTCAGGCAGGTACCATGTATTCTAAATTAGAGTGTTTTAAATTCCCTAATTTAAAACGATAGTGATGCATCCCAGCAGGACGCAGCGCGATCGTTTTAAGGTGAACATGAATCAAGTTGCTGCTGCGCAATCTCTCGAATGGCATCGTCCACTCTGATTCGCGTTTTTCTGGCCTTTCTGAAGAGCATAGTCATGGGCATTCTAAGTACTTTGTAACATTTCATGTTCTAACCGTTTCCGGCCAATTCATTTCATCCTTTCCCTCGTCTTTGCCCGAACTTTTAAGTTGGAATCATTGAAACCGTTTGCACTCGCAAGTCGGACCTCAATCAACAATTTTCGGATGACGTTTTTTAATTCTATACGCAGAAAATTACTTGGATCGTTACAAATGTTCAAATGAGAAAAAGTGGGAAAGTTCCTCTGAGCTATTTTTTTTCGTAAGACATCATTGTTCCACTTTCGACCTACTCTCTCCTGCATCTGAACCACACTGCGAATCGCGTCGGAACGTGCACAGTCTGCCACTCGGGCATCCACGTCAGTCATCGGAGTCGAACGGACCGAATCGCACAGCAGGCCGTTCCTCCTCCTTAACCCCGCGGGTCCGACCGTTCTCCACTCGTCAGCCCGGGTAGGGGTGGATCACGTCAGCGCTACTAAGTGGGTGCAGTGGGTGTAAGTGAGAGGGTCTCGAATAGTGCCGTCCGCGCCAGAACGCCTGTACTTCAAAGATGTACTCTCTCCACCCGCAGATTCTTGTCTTTCTGGTGTGGGAAGGGTAAGTGTCAGAGAGAGAATCCGACGAAGGGAACTGGGAATGGCAAAATAACTACCGTGAGAGGGTCAAGCCTCCTCCTCCATGACTCGATTGGAAAGCGAGCCTATATTTTAGCATTTGTACCCCAATTCTTTGCACAATTCCCTTCATGGAATCCTCTAGAATCTAAGCAAAAAGGTTAAAGGTTGGCCACATCTGCATTACATTTGCGCCGGCCATAGAGCGCTATTACTGAGACTCGCATAACTTGATCATCTTCTACTCTCCGGTAGAAGGTGGAAAGACTCGTAACTATGGAAAATCATCAGCCATCGTCAGCGATATTTCCAGACACGGTTTAAAGGCATCGTATGTGATGAAGCGTAGCAGCAACTGCGAAAGGGTAAAATTTGGCATATGAATTAGAAGCAACCATGACACTGTCACAGGGAATGGAAGGAAGAAACAAATTGCTTTGCTTGATTCTATTTCTGTTTTTCTTCCAGTTTAGAAAATGCACAGAATTGGAAAGGTAACTACCCGTAGGGTTCATGTATTACCAAAGCCAAAACAAACATGGAGAAAATGTATTCAATCCTTAAAACAACACAGCATATGAACCCAAAGATGCCACCACAAATAAAATCCTCCCCCCTCCCCTCCCCCATGGAGCGTTAGCGTGGAGGAATCCCGTCCCTCGCCTCAGTTAGTGCAGACGGAATCCTGCATAGATCTGGCAAGGGCTCCTCCGGCTACACTCAGCAGTTGCGGTTCCTCAACTTGGGCAGCGTCTCCTCTACCTCAATTGACGATCTGGTCCCGTTGAATATCATGAGCGGCGCATGCAAAAGAAGTGGGACGTTCTGGCCAAGTTATCGTCCTGAGAAAACCTCTCTCCATCTCTAACAATGCACTCTTACTGGAATTAGCCTTGGAAAATCTCGCAGCGCGGGCGTGAAGTCGATCCAGTCGAAGCAATCGCCATGTTGACGGCCGAAGAGAGTTTCTGATTGCGGTCGATGTGGCACCAATAAAGTCCTTGGCCAGATCTCCGAAGAGATCCCACTTACCGACAAACTGCCTCTTCCATGCAGATTAGGGAACCATCGGGCAAACTTGGATGAAAAGCTTCTGAACTTAACGAAGTTAACTTACTTCTACATGGATTCTCGTCTACAAGTAGTAACAAAATAATTTGACCCCTACATTGAGTAGAAAAGAATAAATATTTCAATACAACACCTTGAATTTCATGTACAGTCGCTCAATAAGGGACAACAATGAACACGTCTATGTATTTTTAATCATCTCTGGCATCTTTTGAAACCTGCCTGTACAACAACCTGAATCGAGGAATGTGCTTAGAATGTAGGACCATACAGGACTTGCCACAGTAATCGGATAGGTGGGTGAAGTCATGGTCGAGAACAAGAACGAGGGAGAAACGTCTGCGGGACTCGCTCTTTTGCATCTTCATCGCAATCTGGATGTTCCCATCGATGCTGTGATAGCAAAATTCGCCCAATCACGAGAGCGGCGACTGGATTTCGAGTTGTTGGGTGGATTTTTGAACAGAGCACTATCCGATAATGCAGCTTTATTTCCAGGAAAATACTCTATTATCGAAGAAGCGATTTTTGAACCGAGCATTTTCCATAATGCTCCATTTTATTTAGACATCGGTTCGTGATTATAGTAGAGTAGGGTCAGAGGTCCTCTTTCGTCGATAATGTTGGATTATTTTCATCAGTCGCAATGGAAGGACTGCACGGTGGCCAGAGGTCCTCTTTCGTCGATAATGTTGGATTATTTTCATCAGTCGCAATGGAAGGACTGCACGGCTTGCATCGTGTGCAATCGTATCGCTTCGTGTTAACCCCTTGACCTCGTATTTTTTCATGGAAAACTTGTTTTTCAGGTTTAATAGATATATTAGGAATAGAACCCTCCACTACTCTTCGTCGTCGTGCAGGGTCGTTCACAAAGAAATAAAATGCGAAATGATGGCGAATTGCACTTCATGTAACGATTCGTGTCGTGTTTTAAATAATTGAGGATTATTATAATAGAGTATTGTCAAATGCAGCATTATCTGGTTAGTTCAAAAATCGAAAAATAATGCTTCTCTTTATAGAGATGTATTATCCAATAGAGCAGGATTATTTTAGTGCTCGAACAGAGAACTATCCGATAATGCTGCTTTATTTCCAGGAAATATCATGCATTTCCCTGGAAATAAAGCAGCTTTGTCGGATAGTTCTCTGTTCAAAAATCTACCCGTAGTGGTTAAGAGCGACTGGAAACGAGTGGAACTTTTTATACGTCGAGATTGATCTGAATTCTGGTTTTGTCTTCAATAACAAAGGTGGCCTCATCCCAATTTTCAAGGTGGTTATTTTCACTTTCGTTAAATTTTTAAATACATGTATGTTTTAAATAAATGTAGGGTCCTTGATATGAAGATTTTACCGTGGGTGAAAAATGACACGACGCAGGGAGCGGCCGGTGGTAGCAGGGGGGGGGGGGAGTTGGATGGAGAGGTCTATGAGTTATTTCTGTATCTGCCACTGAAGCTGAATCAACTAATGTGCTGAGAATGTGAGACTATGCAGCACTCGCCATAGTAATAGCATACCAAAAACGTACCAAATGATAATATGGCGATCGTGTTCCCTTTCACTCAGGAATCATTTTGACCCAATGTCAAGGTTCTCTTTCTCCAGGAAAGAAAACTAAAAAGGCACAAATATCACGACATTGACATCATCTACCAATTTTATTAGTTTACTTTTTTCCTGAACTGTCCAGGGAATTTTAAGTTACATATGAAATTGGAAGAGGAAAATAGTGGAAAATGTCGCAGTGACGGCTACGATTCGCTCATTCGTCCAGTTCTGGCAAGATCGGATTTCTGGGCCGAAGGAGACGAAAGGAGACCTGGAGCGAAGCAATAGATGAGATAAATCATTCCGATTCCGATCGCAATCAGCGTCCAGGGACTGTTCAAAATGAAAACAGAGATTCATTCAGTAATTAAGATACATCGAAATGAATTAAACTTACTTAAATATTCATGCGGAGCGTCACGTGCTGTCGTGAGCAGTACCAGACTACCCAAGTAACACATCATGTTGATCAAACGTTTCCGAAATGTTGCCTATGTTGCTCTATGTTGCAAGTTGCTGTAAAACATTGAGAAAACATTGCTTCAATGTTTTCACTTGGAATGTTGCTGCGGCACTTCTAGCAACGTTGACGTTTTGGACATTTACACATAGATGCAACATTGTTCATCAACATTTCCTAAACGTTGCTGGAATATCTTGTGTTTCTTGGGTAATTGGGACAAAATTACTTTAAAGACGTTTTCTAAAAATTCCTTTCAACTTCATTTTTCTACATTGAATGGAACTTTGACCAGCAAAGTAATCCACTAAACATGTACCACCTGACATGGCATTTTTTTTTTTGCAGCACTCCATTTTGATCTATTTAATACTTGTTTGTAGAACCTCCCTTTGGACGATTTCATTTCATCAGAAATCCTGAAATGCTCTCCTTGCAACTTTATCCTTGATCAACAAATGTCATTTGGCGTGAAGAAAGGTGTCATTCAACGCCTTCTTTTTTGACAATACAGTATAGAAACACTAGGTCAAGCTTCATCAGACATAAGTGGAAGGGAACCAGAAGAACGAAAACTGCTGTCTAAAGTGTGTTACGTCAGTAGCACGAAATGAACGAACTTTCCTTTATTTATTCCTGAGTGGAATGAGACATGCCTGGCTGGAATAGGTGAAAGTATCTACGTTCAATAAAATACTGTTAAAGTACATTCTTAGGACAAAACCATGCTCAAGGCATATCATCATTATTGTTTTCAATCTGAGTCTGGCGTTATGTCAGTAACTTTAGAAATGCCCTAGTAACGACCTCGGTACATCCTAGACTTCCATCGATATCGTATTGTTGCACTCTACTAAATACCAAATGCTTAAGCCCTACCTTTTTATGGCGACTAAGGAGGAAAAAAAAAGGCTGCAGGAAATGCATAGTCACTGAGAAAGGAAAGAAAACACATAGGAGCATCCAATCGCGCTCGTACTCTACAAGAACCACACACATGAGCCACCGGATTACCAACCTTTTGATGTTGCGGGAAATCCAGTCGCACAGTCTAGTGAAGATTGACGGTGGGGGTGGTGGGGGCGGGACCACGCCTGTGGGATAAAGGAATTCGTCATGGCCAGGCAACTCTGCCTCCTCCTTTTCACTCCAGCCGAGCGTTGATGTCATGGTCGAGGGTGCAAGATACACAAACCTGTTTGGGAGTCGTAGATATCGAAGGCTCACCTATTAATCTTGTTAGCAGAATTCTGATGAATTCCTGGATGTTCTCTGTTGTCACTTTCCACAGCAATTCGTTGATGGAACTTGTTTTCGCTTTCATCCTCTCCTCTTCGTCGTCGGTAGAAGGTTCGTCTTCATCTTCCTCGTTAGCGAAGTAGGAAGAGCTGTTGACGACGAAATGCTTCTGGTATCTAAGCCCGGCCTCTCTCACGGATTCTAGGACGGGGAGGCGTTTGCTGTCCGCAAATGTGCAAAATAAAAAGGGGATACTGGCAGATTCATCTCCCAGGACTTCTGCCATGTTTCCCAACACCTTTTTCTGCTCTGCCGTTAACCTCGCCTGTTCACAGAAATGGATACATTACCCGAAAAAGTGTCCCAAAATCATGGTAGGTTGATGAAAACACAAGTTCCTTAAAGTATTACAGAAAATAAGGTCTCGACTCTGCTGTAAACCCTTTGTCAGAGTTCAAAGGGTACGAAGTCAAACTTTCCTGCCCCGTAGATGGTCTTGGAACGAGAATGGGAATGCATGGAGTCGTAGCAAGGGTAGGGCAAACGAGGCACCCTCCCCAGGTGCCATCTTAAGGGCGCCGAATCGACTCGCTTCAATGTAGGCGCGGAATGGAAATTTTGTATTTTCCTTTGCGACTTGTAGTTTGTAAGGTTTCAACTCGTTTTAAAAGATGTCATGAATTCCAATGTTTTCCATTTACCAAATATAATATTTTCTATGCATACGAGCGAGGTATGTTCTGTATGTTGCACGGAAGGCAAAAAAAGTGCATTTTATAATATTGATTTGTTTTACTCATCGGCTTCTTTAAATACAAGCTGAGATGCACACCAATAATTTTTACTCAACAAACTTAATTTTCTTATGAATGAATTCGCTTCAATTAAGATGCGAAAAATGCATTTCTTGCATTGCCTTTGAAGTTTTTCAGCTCAACTGAATGGAATCTGACACATACTCTAAATGTTTTGACTAACCAATTGCAACTTTTCTGAATGGAATGTTTTAGTTTAACTCATTAGCAATATCCACCGAGTCATTCATCTAACATATATGGATGATCGTGATTGAGTAACTGACTGACAGACGCTAATTCTAACCATGTTCTAGAGAAGTTAGATATCTGAAACTTGGTACACATGCACCTTTTGGGATGCTGAGTTCAGAAAAAAAAACCGACTCTGGAGGTACATGCCCTGGGGGCTCCCATTTTGAGGAAGATGTTCCCAATGATATATATTTGCTTCAGTCAAACGGAGAGACATGTAAAGCTAAAACTTGACTTGGACGTGCCTACTGAGACACAAAGTTCAGGAAAAATGTCAAGTATCAGGTACATGCCCTGGGGGCATACTTCAGGGGGGTCACATTTTCAAATAATTTTTTTTTAGTCCTACCGAATTGGCCAGAGATAGGAAGGTGAAACTTGATACATAAGCACCTACAGGTATTGGGAACCCGACTTCATAAAAATTCAGACTTAGGAGGTTAATACCTTCAAGGCACAAATTTCATGGGAAGATGTTTTCAAATATTTTTTTCTGCTTCAGTCAAACGGATGAACATGGAAAGCTGAAACGCGACATGGACGTACCTACTGAGACGCCGAGTTCAGGAAAAATGTCAAGTTCTGGATTCATGCCCTGGGGGCATATTTTTAGTGTGACGTTTTAAAATAATTTTTTTTTGTCCAGTGAATTGTACAGAGATAGAAATGTGAAACTTGGCACAGCAATAACAGGTGATGGTATGTTATGAAGAGATTTGAAGCTAGGAACACAAGAAACAATGGGAGTAATTATTCCGATGGAAATATCTTTTTTTTCTCCTTCGATACGCCTTCCGAAGGGCACATATTCTTAATAAGTTTTTGGCACTATTAAAATAAATTATTGAATAAAATTACTATCCTGGGAATAGAGCGCCGAAAGCGCGACAATTGCGCAAGAAAATAGAAAATAAATTATTTCCGATTGCTTTATGCCAAAAAGAAAACCCATTTACCGGAAAATTATTAAACAAATTTCTAAATTTTAAAACAAATTTCTAAATTTTAAAACAAATTTCTAAATTTTAAAACAAATTTCTAAATTTTAAAACAAATTTCTAAATTTTAAAACAAATTTCTAAATTTTAAAATAAATTTCTAAATTTTAAAACAAATTACAAAACAAAAATAACCCGGCGGCCGGAGGGACGCCGGGGTACTTTTCTTCCTTATTCAATGCATTCAATGCGTTCGATGCACTCAATGAATTCTGGGGTAGGGACGAACGGGACGAAATGAAGGAAGAGCAAACAACCTGAGAGCCTGGGACGACGTATATGACCGCCTGAATGCCCTGCTTGTGATATCGATCTATGAATGCACGGATCTCGTTCATTAACATTCGATCGTCCTCGGGCCTCCCCCTTTGGAAGCCCGGGGTGTCGATGAAGGTGATTGGACACGGGAATCTTTGGATGTCCCTGGTGAAAAACGTGTACGATGCGATCTTGTCAGTGGGTCCCTCTTCTTCCTTCACCTGGAACCTATAGGGATCGCCGAATTCCACTCCCAGCCCGTAATTCCCCAGCACCTCCAGCAGCATCGACTTCCCTGTCATCAAAAGCGTGCAAAGTATCGTCAAAGCATGTCAGGCCTATACTACCGAAGAATCACATTAGATGCCAAAGAGGGTCACCTGATCCGATCAATCCGAGCAGTAGAACAGTCATACATAATGCGTCATGTTGACCCACACCCAATTGGTATCGATCTGTACCTTCGATGGGTTGAAATGGAAGTTGGAAAGTCGGAGGTCCTTTCCCTTTGATCTGCACACTTCTCCTAAGCATTTCCTCATGGAGCAATTTTTGTCCTCCCATCCTCGCTCATTCGATCCCTGTCGAGTACACAGTCAAGATTGCCATATGCAGTAAAGTAGAAAATCATTTTCGAGGTTTCTAATTCGGCCAGACACTTGCCGCTGCCGATCAGGGCGAAGTAATCGCCAATGAAATTAAGATTGCTTGCAAAGACTATAAGGTCAAGTGAAGATTTCCGAGAGGATTGGTATAAAAATGAGTGTATAAAATCGGTGTCACAAATGACATTTGACACTACACGTTTCGCACGTTTGAAAAATAATCAGTGTAATAAAAATAATAATACATAAGTTGTTATTGCTATTTATAATTAATAAAAACTATATTAGGAGAAGGAAAAATAAAAAGCTAACTATTATAGTTTAAAAAACGTGTGAGACATGTACAGTGGCAAGTGTAAAGTGACAATTGGTACACCCTGTATAATAAGGGCCTTGCATTAATGGAACGGAGGAGAACGCAGAAAATAAAAAAGGGCCGGAATTTCGCGGATTCATGTAAACACGAATTTCTTATGCATATTCAACTGGTGCGTTGTATGTGAGGATGGTCTCGTGCGAAAAGAGAGAGAACTCCTCGACTTCTATCCTTCCGACCTGCTTTTAATGCATTTTAGTACCGTTCCCTTCTCGACGATTCAATCAGCCGAATTCGGCCATTATACAGTATATTATAAAACTTCCCAGTAAGCTTCGAAAACACGCAAGACGTCGCCGCTGCCTCATCGAGTTCTCCATCGAAAGAGGGAGAATCGCGCTGTGGTGGATGCGAAGTCGTCCTTTCGGAGGCACCGCATGCAGACGAAGGTATCGCGAATGGGAGGAAAGCGACCTCTGGGCTTATCATAGCGCTCATAATAGCAAAGTCTGCCTCACACGAAGCGATTCGCTCCGCAGTCGAGAGGCCGTACCTTCCCCTTGACCATGAGATTGCACACTGGAGTTCACTGTTCATCATCGATGCTCATAGAGGAGATCGCTCGTCCAGAAATCTTTCGTCCTTCAAGAATATGATTTTTTTTCTTCAACGTTGTCACCGCAAAAGAAATGAAGCTGCTTCGTGCATTGTCGGTGCTTTGTCAAGACGCTGTTATTTTTCCGAGGGCAGTCGTGCAATTTACAGCAGAAGCATGCTAAATATCCGAGTCAATCGAAGTGTACCCAATCTAACCACTTCTAATGGTCTCGTTTTTTGCATATAAATAAGTGATCACTTTTGATGTTAAATCTACCAGAGCTTCCTAAAATTAAGAAAAATTTCTATGCCTAAAATTATTTGCGCTCATTTGTTTTAGCATGTGACTACCTGGAAAGACTTCTTTGCTTCCTACAATTGCAAATCGATGAACGATTCACGATGGTAACTGAAAAAAGGGGTGAAACATTTTTTCGTGATCAAGAAAACCGGTTCGAGACACCATGACATTCATAAACAGCCGACTGGAATAAAAGGAATTTCTCACGATTCCGGAAAAGATGAAAGAGGAAAGGCACAAGCGCACTATAGCTACGAACTCGAGTTGTTCCATGCAGTAGACACCACCTTATCGGGCAGTCCGTTATCTTCCAACGTGAATCCATTTCCCCGCACCGATAAGGCCATATCGCTTCCTTCCGTCTCCTTGCAAGGCCTAGGCATGACTGACGGCCCAGGTAACACATTTCCTTCGACCCTAGTGACGGGCCTCTGGCGGGTGCGGCGGAATGGCATTGCCATTTGCAGGGTCCAGCGAACATCGGTGCCATTTGTGACGGGGAAGGGTTACCAAAAACGAATTAGTGCCGAAATGAAACTTGGCGAATGAACGGGTTTGACTAATGATAATCTACGAGGAATGAAGGGTGAAAGTGTCTTCAGAAAAAGAACTTTTGTAATAGTCCTCGTTCGCAATGAAAGGTGCGGCAGCGGTTAAACAAGAACAGTAATTATTTCCTTTGAATTGAAAGATAATTAACGTAAAAAGTTAACGAGGATTTCACAAACGTAGGATTCTTAGGTTCACTGCACTCTTGTTAAAACTTACTCATCGCAAAAGGAAATTGATGCTTCCCAGACAATCCATGCAATAATTTCAATCAATTACACTTCAACCGATCCATCAACAATTTGCTGTGTGCACAACTACACGCCATTGATAGTTTATGAACATTTCAAAATATGTCTCCGAATGAAGACAATGCCATGGGAATTGCTGAAGACTGTAATTTGAGCCAATTAATATACCATGGTAGTTGTGACTGGTTGCCCACGGTAACAACTGATCTGAGTTTGTTGGCTGATGAATAAGGTTTGCTGAATATATTTAAAAAGAAAATCCATTCCAAACACAAAATTTAATAATAAAATGCCCTGCAGCACCCAAAAAGAACGTATAAAATCTCATTAATATACTGTATTACACGGTCTTGTAATATAATGGTCGCTGGTCGTGTGTAAACCACCAAGTCAATTCCAGGTCTTTAATGGACCAGTTGAAGTTGAGTAGGAGTTCGGTAGGAAAGTTGAAAGGCATCCGTCACATTTGGGCTTCATTCACACATTTTAGTAAAAATAAAATAAAATAAAATAAAAACGAAAGGGGAAGCTCTAACCTCTTTCTGAATGTACAAGCCAGTGCCCGGTCAAATGACCTGACTCGAAGATTTTCGGGGGAACTGACGATGCATACGAGCTTCATGTATTCCTGCTGGATTGCGTTATCGCGTTCAAAGCAGCTCGTTTGTTTGCTTTGCGAATAGAATATCGATCTTTCATCGAAAAAACTGTTGAAATGAAACTAATAAAGGATCATATGAAATGAAACAACAAAATTTGCTTATGGACAACAATCAATGTGAATTATCTTTCACTTCTCTTTTGACCTCGCTCAGCAGTAAGGTGAAAAGGTAGATAAGGAGCTTGAACTTGACGCCGTCGAAATGTCGGACTCGTGAGAAAGCCACTTACAGATAGCCATGTCTGAACACTGCTTCGGGGAGGAAAATCCTGTTCGGTCGAAGGTTTCACCCTGCGCCTTATGGTCATGGCGAAAGCAAGCCGAATCGAAACTGGCGGCGCTTCAGAGTTAAGGATTCATGAGCCTGGTGAATCTTCGGCATGAGGACTCGTTCCCCCTTCGCAACCTCCCGTTGAGACTTGATCGAGTATCGATCATGCTGTTCGTCATGCGGTCGAATACGTTCCGTTGCATGGCCCTTGTTTTGCGTTGAGGTTGCGAAGGCGAATGACGACTGCCGCAGATATGGGTTTCAACATACGAGATGGCATTAAAGATGGGGTCAGGCTGTCTAGAAACTACTGAATAATTGCTTTGCTCCTCAGGATCATCACATAAGACCGAGTCGATACTGATGTAGAGCTTGGATTCCACTGGCAATATCATTTCTTTTGCTGAGGAAGCTGGAGAGACGAACGTTGAAAGCCGTGAGTTTGCAAGGCGTCGCGGGTTTCGAGGAGAGTCAAGTTCATTGCCACACCAGGGCTCCTGGTTTTAGTAAAGTCTTCCGTTATTCTGCTATTGCTCTTGTGGATTTCTCATAGAGTAAGCGAAAAAAAAAGTGTTCACCTTCAGTCTCTTGGTGGTAACTGAAGGACTTGCGGTATGGACATACGGTATCCATCTTGCCTTGGTAGAACTCGGGATACAGACGATCTTTCATCGTTTGAAACAGCATTCAAATATTTACAACATTGGGGATTTGTGTTCATGCTTGTTTCATTCACCCGGAGGTGTTGTAGTCTCCTAGCTTCATCTCTCTCGGTCCTGTTCGGCCTCATTGGCCCGTCAGTGGTGTTGTCTTCTGGCTTGATCCTCTTGCTTTGTCTCTGTCGTTCTGGCTGATATTTTCTTTTCCCGATCGTGGTTAGAACTTGTCCTTTTCCGTTAAGACATTTTGAAAATGAAAATGCTCTGTGTATGCAAGACCTTGGGGTCTTACCTTGGAAGCAAATTCCTTCATTTTTCGTCAGAGCGTGAATATAGCGACATTTAGAGATTTCCTGAACATCAAGGAAATGATGACCTGTATCGCTCGAAAGCGATTTGCCTGAGGGGCACGTGCTCTATTAGGTAAGTACCTATTTTATGTACTTGGTTAAAAATGACTCCCTCCTGGTAGTCTTCACGTAATAACACCCAATACTGGGACATGAACGTGAAAATTGCTTTAGGTGTGTGTTGAGAGAGACGGAGAGAGGCAGAAAGAGAAAGAGAGAAGAGAAATCTGGGCAAGCAGGCATCCCTGCAAATTTCGAAATTGACCATGTTTCATTCACATGCCTCTCATAGCCTATGGGAGACGTTTCCTTTCCCGCCACGACCGCAATCCCTGGACAACATCGACTTCTCTGACGGGCATCACGCAAATCACGCAGTGGCAGTTCCGCGCCCCACTCTACCTCATGGTGACTTCGGGGAAGCAAAGCTCAGGATCGGCTTTCACCTCTGGGGTTATGTAACGTTTCACACGCACAGATGGCAATGCTTCTTGCTCGGGGGCCTCCGATCCTAAGAACGCAGGGGTCTAGACTCGGAATTAAAAAAAAAAAGAGAAGATAGTACTGCGCCAGGTTTCGAACCGTAGTTACACGTCACGGTAGCCCAACATAGTACCACGGAGCCGCTGTCTTCCCCCAGCCATTTCATAACCGTGGATGAAGTAGCTCCTCGAGTTATAGCGACGGAAGTGAGATCTGTACCTTTTCGAGGTTCTAAGCTAAAATTGCTCGAATCCGATGAACGGGAGAGGAGGAGTTCCCGGACAAACAAACAACGGTATAATTATACCAGGTATAGAAGCGAAACGTCAAAATTTAATTACCGATATAAAAAGTTTCTCATCAAATCCTTTGGTTGACTTGTAAGATTTGGGAACTCGAGGTCACAGATCGCTGTTGCTCCTGGTTGTATCTTAAAACCATTTTCGCTTGTGGTTTTCTTAATTTTGATAAAATGATATATTTTGACTTTCGAAAAATATATAAAAGAAGTTATCAAAAACAGATACAGCACAGGTCGTTTGTAACAAAAAAAAAAAGAATATGACATTGCATTAAAGGTTTGTCGAATTTTAGCATCTGACATAAATTCCTCAAATCCTCTCTAGTTTGGCTGGTAATCTTATTTGGGAGCATTAAATTAATGCTAGTTGAAGCCCTCGTTCCGTGTCTATGGGGGGGTAGATAACTGGTTTGTACTTCCATGCATTTCTCCACTCATGGATTCTTTTCTTTCTCCTATGGGAAGGGTTAGTGTTAGGGTGGGGATCCGACAAGGGGAGCGGGGAATGGCACATTTACGATCAGAAGATGGTCGAGGCTGCTCCCTTATGATTCATTTGTAGTGAACCTATTGAATATATTTTCAACATTTCTCCCCTTTTTTGGCACGAGTCGCTTTACTGATTCCTCCAGATGCCTGTCTAGTTTGCGTGCGCGTCAACCTGAGGGTGATGTACGGTGAAAGCTGAAAAGACTCGTATCTATAGAAAATCAGCGACAGTGAGGGATATTTTCAAACTGTGTTCAAAGGCCTCGCTTGTCGTAAAGGGAGCAAAAACTTTGGAGTAATCGACATTAGTGTTCGAAAGAGACCCAACCATGACGGTGTCACTGAGATGGACATGCATTTGCACATTTGCCAAAAAAATTACAATATGAGTGGCAGAGCATTAGCATATCGATTTTACTGATAGCTTCGTTAATATAAATACAAAGGAAAATTGAAAAGGGAATAACCCGAGAGATCCTCTACCATCAAAGCCAAAAGAAGCATTGGGAGTATTTATTCAATCCCTTCACGACACTATAAATAAATCCTAAGATAGACATCACATAAAATATACGGCAACTTTTGGTCGTCTAATGTGACGATCCTTAAGAAAGTCTGTACACCGTGCTCAAAACCCCATGGCATGGCTTCATGGAAGTAGCATAAAAAAACTCGTGACTCGCCGCAGTTGATGCAGACGGAATCCCTCCGCATGGGTCTGGCAAGGGCTCACACGGACAGGAGCAAGCGGTGGTGGCTTGTCATATTCACCAGTTGTGGATCGTCAATAGAGGAAGGATAGGCCCAGGTCTCCTCAACTTCTATTGACGATCTACAACTGCTGAATAGTGCCGAACGTCACCAGTCCGCATTCAGTACAAGTGGGACGTCCTAGCTAATGAATCATCCTGGGAACAACTCCCTTCACTACTAATAATTGGCCTATATCATATAGGAATTTTCCTTGGGAATGCCCGTATCCCGGCGGTGAAACGGGTCCGGCCGAGGCTCTCGTCATATCGATGGCCGAGGGGAAGTTTTTCATAAGAGAAGGTCCATGAGACACCAAGTAATTCCTAGGTCTGATCTCCGAAGAGATCCCACTTATCAACCAGCTGCATCTTCCATGAAGATTGAGGAACCATCGAGCAAACTTGGATGAGAAGCTCCCAAACATAATCCCAAACGAAGTTAAACGTACTTCTATATGGATTCTCATCTACAAGTCATAACAAAATGATTTGACCCCTAAATTGAGTTGAAAAGAATAATTACATCACTTCGACTTTCATGTACACTTGCTCAAAAAGGCCAACAATGAACATGTCAGTGTATTCGTAATTATTTCTGGAATCTTTTTAAACCTGTCCGTACTACAACCTCAATCTACTAATGTGTTGAGAATGTGAGATTATGCAACACCTGCTATAGCAATAGAATAGGTGAGTGAAAAACGTACCAAATGATGACATGGTGATCGTGTTCGCTCAGGAATAATTATGACTCAATATCAATTTTCTTTTTTCGAGGAAAGAAAATGAAAAAGACACCAATATCACGACATTAAGCACTCAAACTCAGATTAACACCATCTATTTTATTAGTTTATTTTTTCCCTTGAACTGTCCAGCGAATTTGAGATATATTGGAAATTGGAAAGGGAAAATAGCGGAAAATTTTCCAATAATGGTTATGAATCGGCCATTCGTCCAGTCGCTGTATGATTGAATTGGGCCGAAGGAGACGAGAAGAAATCTGAAACGTAGTAATAGAAGAGACATATTCCGGTTCCGATTCCGATCACAATCTGCTTCCAGAGACTGTTCAAAATGAAAACAGAGTCATTCAGTTATTGAGATTCATCGAAATGAATGCAAGAGATTTAAATATTAATGTGAAGTTTCACGTTCTGTTGTGAGCAGAAGGAGAGTAATTGGGGCAAAATTGGCATATAAACGTTTCTAAAGCTTTCCTACTACTTAATTTTTCTGCATTGTATGTCAATAAACTTTGACTAAACAAGGGATCCACTAAACATGTATCACTTGATATGAGATGATTTTTATTTCTCTTGCAACACAGCATTTTGATCAATGTAATACTAGCTTCGAGAACAACACTTTGGATGATTTAATGTCAATAAACCCTGGAAAGCACTCTTTGATACTTCATTTTTGATCAACAATAATAATAATGGTTAATTGAAAATCAGGACTGTGAGTGCATAAGCAAATTGGTATCCATCGTCATTTTGGGGGTGAAATTACGAAATCATTAAGTCAAGGATATATGAGGTGAAGTGAAGTGGAGAAGTTGGGTTAGGTGGATGATGCGTTCAAGAGGCGGGTCATATAGGGGACTGCTGATTTGTAGAAGCGTTGGGTTTTGCACTTGAATTTCATCAAGAGGTGAGAAATGTTACGTCTCAAGGTCATTGAGGGCATCTGCCGGAGGGTAGGCAAGACATGTCGACGAGATGGGTTGGCTGGTAAGGCTTGGGCATATTTTAACGTGAGCTTCTTTCGCCTGTCTACCAGAGATGGCAACTGAAGAGACGATAGAGCCTCCTTATATGACGTAAATTCACTCCCGAGGATGAGCCGAAAAACGCGCTTCTGGACTAGCCCAATTGAATTTGCCAAATTGGTGGTCAGTGAGCTGCTCCAAGCAGGGGAGGCGTATTCTAGCACTGGGACGATGTACGAGGACCAAACAGCAAGTAAATCTTCACGGGGCGCTCCAAAGGATTTTAAGATCTTGAGCATGAATAATCGTCTTGATGCCTTGGCTACGATCGCTGGCTGGAGGCTGGTGTTCGGGGATGGAGTTCTTGGGATGGGTTTTGTCGTCGACGTACTTGAAAACTTGGGCACCAACTTGCACGTCGTCATTCACCATCACGGAGAACAGTAAGGGGCCAAACACCGTGCCTTGGGGGATGCCACATGTGAGCGGGAGGGAATCAGAGAGGATCCCGTTGTAGCGTGTACGCTGGGATCTTTTTACTTAGGAATGACGCTAGCCAGGTTATTATGCTAGCATCTGTCTCAAGTAGGGATATTTTCTTCAGGAGAATAGTATGATCTATCAATAAATGCCTTTTGGGTTGAAGTAATGTAACGGTCTACGCCGTCTTTCTTGAAAATACAGATACGCCAAATCAGACAGAAGTGTAGAACGAGTAGAAAGAAAATTGCGATCTAAAGTGTGTTACATTAGTCACAAGAAATGAACGAGTTTTCTTTTATTCATCCCTAGGAGAAATGAGACATGCCAGGCTGGAATAGATGAAAATACCTGTGTTCGATAAAATACTGTTCAAGTCAATTCTATTGACCAAACCATGCGTCAGGCATACCATCATTCTTGCTTTCATTCCGAGTCTGGTGTTTTCAGTAACTCTAAAACTGCCCCTCTAACTACTTCGGTCCATCCTAGACTTCCACCGACATTGCATTGTTACACTCCACTCAATCACATATGCTTAAGCCCTGCATTTTCAGAGAGTCTAAGAGGAAACACATAGGCTGCAGGAAATGCATATTCACTGAGAGAGGAAGCACCTAAGAGCATCCGATAACGCTCGAACTCTACAAGAACCATACACATGAGCCACCGGGATACCAACCTTTTGATGCCGCGGGGAATCCAGCCGAGAATTTTAGCGTTGGGACCTGACACGTCTTCATCCGGTAGGGGTGGGATCACGCCTATGGAATAATGGGATTCGTCATCGTTCTCATCGCGAGACAACTCTGCCACATCGTTTCCAATCCAGCCCAGCGCTGATATCATGGTCGAGGGTGCAAGATACACAAACCTGTTTGGGAGTCGTAGATATCGAAGGCTCACCTATTAATCTTGTAGACAGAATTCCGACGAATTCCTGGATGTTCTCTGTTGTCACTTTCCACAGCAATTCGTTGATAGAACCAGCTTTCGTTTTCATCCAATCCTCTTCGTCGTCGGTAGAAGGTTCATCTTCATCTTCCTCGTTAGCGAAGTAGGAAGAGCTGTTGACGACGAAATACTTCTGGTATCTAAGTCCGACCTCTCTCACGGATTCTAGGACGGGAAGGTGTCTGCTGTCCGCAAATGTGCAAAATAAAAAGGAGATCCCGGCAGATTCATCTCCCAAGACTTCTGCCATGTTTCCCAACACCATCCTCTGCTCTGCCGTTAACCTCCCCTGTTCACAAAAATGGAAAAGTGTCCCAAAATCATGGTAGGTTGGTGAAAACACAAGTTCTTTGAAGTATTACAGAAAATAAGGTCTTGACTCTGCTGTAAACCCTTTCTCAGAGTTCTAAACGTGCGAAGTCGCACTTTCCTGACTCATAGATGGTCTTGGAACTAGAATGGAAATGCTCAGTGCTGTTGGTAGGGCGAGCGAGGCACTTCCTCCAGTTGCCTTCTTAAGGGCGCCGAATCGACTCGCTTCAATGAAGGCGCGAAAAGTCCATTTGTAATTTCTAATGTGACTTGTAACTTGTAATGTTTCAGCCCTTTTAAAACAAGCTGGCATGAAATCCAATGTTTTCCACTTACCAAAAGTAATATTTTTTTATGTATTTGTTTCAATGAAGGCGTAAAAATTGTATTTCTGTAGTATTGATTTGTTACTTTTCAGCTTCTCTGAATACAAGCTGCCATGCACTCTAATACTTTTTACTTCACAAAAATTCATTTTCATAATGATGAATAAACATGCGGAAAATGTATTTGTTGCAATGCCTTTGAAGTTTTTCAGCTCAACTGAATGGAAGCGGACATATACTCTAAATTTTTTGACTAACCAAATACAACTTTATTTACAGTATTTTTTAAAATTCATTTGCAACATGAAACCAGTCACGCATTAGATATGAAGCTAGAATTATTTCCGATTACTTCATGCCCAGGAGAAAGCCTATTGGCCAGAAAATTTGTTAAATGAAGGGGGAGGGGCCGTCGGGATATTTTTCTGCCTCGAGCGCCATTTGCTCTTGTTACGGCTCAGGGATTGCATTCTGGGGTAGGGGCGAATGGTGCGAAAGGGAAGGAAATGTAAACAACCTGAGAACCTGTGACGACGTAGATGACTGCGTGGATGCCATGATAGTGATTGCGATGGATGAAACCACGGATGTCGTTCATTAACGTTCGATCGTCCTCGAGCCTCCCCCTTTGGAAGCCCGGGGTGTCGATGAAGGTGATGGGACGAGGGAATCTTTGGGTGTCCCTGGTGAAAAACGTGTACGATGCGATCTTGTCAGTGGGTCCCTCCTCTTCCTTCACCTGGAACCTATAGGGATCGCCGAATTCCACTCCCAGCCCGTAATTCCCCAGCACCTCCAGCAGCATCGACTTCCCTGTCATCGAAAGATCGTCAAGGCATGTCAGACCTTTATTACCGAAGAATCACATTAGATGCCAAAGAGGGTCACCTGATCCGATCAAGCCGAGCAGTAGAACAATTACACATTCTGCGCCAAGTTGATCCTCACCCAATTGGTATCGACCTGTATTTGCGATGGACTGAAATGGAAGTTGGAAAGTCCTTGGAAAGTCTTTCCCCTTGATCTGCACACTTCTCCTGAGCAATTCCTCATGGAGCCATTTTCGTCCTCCCATCCTCGCTCATTCGATCCCTGTCGAGTACACAATCGAGAATGTCATATGTAGCATGCGGAAAACCATTTTGAGGTTTCTACTTCGATCAGACTCTCGGCGATGCCGATCCAGGCGAAACGTGTCCTACGTTGTTGAGTTTCATTGCAAAGCCTACAAGGACAAATGAAGGTGTGAAGCCTGTGGATTCCTCTTCTCTCCTTCACCTTTCACCACTCACCATGATTGGTCAACTGTTTAATTCACTTGCTCTCTCCCGTGTCCTTCGCATCCTGAATTTCAACTTCATCATGATTCATTACTGTCATGATAGACAAGAGCTACACTAAGTGGATGCCATTGGAATTGTTTTCCGCATTTCTCGGAAATGAGGCATAACCCCCCTATTTGGGAAATTTATCCATGAAGATAGATTATGTTGGCTTGGCATTACTGGAATCAAATGGGAAGGTGAGCAGGAAACTGACCGGAATTCCGGATACTCCTCTTCAGTTACAACTCGTGCATTTTCTATGAGAAGAGTCTAATCTGGAAGCAAAGAAAACAGTGCTCCGCGCTCTCCGTCCGTCCCAGTGTCATTTATTACACCACCGTTTCCTTTTTTATTATTCCATTAGCCTAGATTTGACCATTATATAAAATTTCATATCAGGCTTCTGAACCATTGTATACTGTCGTCGCTCCCTCATGGAGTCGAGGGCTCTAAGATGGCGACTGTGTAAGGAGCGCCAAGTGAAGTGTCTGGAAAGAGTTCACGTGTTTCAGCCTCATTCTTCTAGCAATCTCAGTGTGGTCAAGTGAAGTGTAGTCCCAGAAGGGAGAAGGATACCCTGCAGAAAGTGCCACCCAGCCAACGGTGAGAACTGTCGTGCTTGGTCCGGGCATCAAAAAACAGATCAACCTGTCTGTGTCGTATGAACCCGGCATGACCTTCTGCAGGGGCGACGTCTATCCCACAATCTCGGACGTGAATGGTCTATGTGAACTACGATAGAGGACCTATAGTATCACTGGCAGCACTTATTAATAGCCAACGAAGGTCAATTCGACTAGGACGACTATCAGACTCTTGAAGAACCTACACCTTTGCTCGTGAAAGCAGCAAGAATGGCTAAAGCGAAGAAACAGGAAGATATTCTGAACGATCTCCTGAAAGAAGTGAAGGCCATCAGAACGGAGATGAAGGAATCGACGGAACAGATGAAAGAGGAATTCAATAAGATTGCAGATCGCCTGCAAAATAGGATTGTGGGCATGGAAAAAAAACAAGACGAAATGGAAATGCAATTGAAGGAAATGAAGGAAGACGCCGATGCAATGAAGAGAGAGAAGGCCCTACAAGGAAGTCGTGGGAGGACAGAAGTCCGCGACCTGGAGGCCCGGTTGGATCGCTTTGGAAAAAAAGCAAGACGAAATGGAAAAGCAATTGAAGGAAATGAAGGAAGACGCCGATGCAATGAAGAGAGAAGGCCCTACAAGGAAGTCGTGGGAGGCCCGCGACCTGGAGGCCCGGTTGGATCGCTTGGAGATGTTATCTCGAAGGAATAACGTCATGGTCCACGGGCTAAAAGAAGAATCCGGAAAAACAGAGGCCGAGATACGACGAAAGCTGGAGGACGTATGGGTCAACAAGCTGGGACTTAACCTCCCTCCTGACGTCACCGTAACCCACCGCATTGGACCTAGGAGAGGCCCGAAAGACGAAACCAAGCAGAGGCCAATCGCGGTTACAGTGAAGGATTGCAGTGAAGGAATACTCAAAGCCAAGAGGGAGAATCTAGACAAGTGAAGCTCAGATGTTTGGATCACGGAAGACTTCCCCATAGCTATCCGGGAAGCCCGGAAGAAACTCATTCCCATTATGATTGAAGCCCGAAAGCAAGGAA